ATCTTTTAAAGTAGCAGTAAGAAGGTTAACTAAGGGTTGAAATCATAATTTGTAGGAATATAGAAACATGAAAAAATTAGATAATGGAACATTTGAGATCTTGCTTCCCAATATTGTCCTCACTTTGGTTCAAATAAATGCTTCAAATAAAATTTTAAAAATATTAGGTAATGAAGATCTATGTTCCTTTTGATCTTCCTATAGTGTTTTTAAAATAGGTAGATAGAAAACCTTAATATACCTTGTTCTTTATAGAATACTGTTTTAATAATGTCCTTTATTATCAGATTTACAAAAATATGGCTCCCACATTATTAAATGAAAGTGGTAGTAGTTCTGTTACTACATTAACCATTGAGATAATGTGATGTTATTTTGTTTATTCGAGTTCCTTTGTCATTTGTCTCCTTTCATCTCTCTTATTTATTTTAGATACATTTAAATTAAGAAAAGAAAGGCAATCAGTTTTATCATGATCATGACTAGTGGTTAGTTGGAAGCTAAAATATTAATTTTTAAAGTGAACTTCAATTGGCTTTTTAGAAAAGCAACACATATGTACTTTATATATTTTTATATTTTTAAATTAAAAAGAATTTTTTTTTCCATCCCTTTACTCTCATCGTATGAGAGTCTTATTCTGAGGTGGGTCTCTTGTCGACAGCATATATTTAGTTCATATTTTTGTATCCATTCAGCTTTCCTATGTCTTTTGAGTGGAGCATTTAATCCATTTACATTTAAGGTTATTATTGATATGTATTTATTACCATTTTAATTCTGTATGCTTATATTTCTCTATTTTTTCTTATTTTAGCAGCTCTCTTAGCATTTCTTGTAGCTCTGGCTTTGTCCAGGAAGCTCTTTATTTCACCATCTATTTTGAATGATAACCTTGCTGGTATAGTAATCGTGGTTTCAGATTCTTGTTTTTCATTACCTTGAATACTTCATGCCATTCCCTTCTGGCCTTTAGAGATTCTGATGAGAAATCAGTTGACAGCCTTATGGGACCTTTTTTTGTAGGTAACAAATTGCTTTTCTCTTATTGCCTTTAAGATTCTCTCTTTGTCATTAAGTTTTGACATTTTATTTATGATGTATCTGTGCATGGACCTGTTTGGGTTCCTCTTGCATGGGACTCTCTGTGCCTCCTGAACTTGTGTGACTTTTTCCTTGAGCTGGTTGGGGAATTTTTTTGCCGTTATTTCTTCAACCTTGATCTCTATCCCTTGCTCACTTTCTTCCCCTCCTGGTACTCCTAATTTGTGAATATTGTTACATTTCATATAGTCCCACATCGCCCTTAAGCTGTCCTTCAGTTTTTTAATTGTTTTTTGTTTTTTTTTTCCCCTTTTTGTTTCTCTGATTGGGTGATTTTTTTCTACCATGTCTCCTAATTCACTGATTTGATCTTCGGCTTCCCCTAATTTTATTCCAGTGATCTTTATTAGTGCTCTGTCATTCTTTATTTCCCAGTGTCCTTTTTTCATAGTTACTATGCCTTTACTCATGCTTTTGAGCATCTTTATATCATTATTCTGAACTTCATATCTGATAAATTTCCTATCTCCATTTTGTTTGGCTCTTCTTCTGGAGAATTATCTTGTTCTTTCACTTTGGGCTTGCCTGTTTGAATTTGTGTCTCTGTGTTAGGTAGATCTGCTATGATATCCAATCTTCAGTGCAGGACAATGTCAGACACTGTTTCTGACTGGCTCCAAGTACTTTGTTTAGAGCTATCAGCAATCCACAGCTTGTGGCTCCCTCTGCTGGGGCTGGGTGCCTTAGGAAAGGACCAGGATGTGTACCGGGGTCTGCTTTTGCTAGCCCTGGGCCCAGAAGAAGATCAGGCAAAGACTCAAATTCTCCAGAGATCCCTTTCTGTCTGCAGTCTAGTGGATTAGCTTCACACTGTGGACCACAGAGTGGCATGAGAGGTCTTCCTAAGTGTGGGGAAGTAAAAAACCACCTGGATAACAAAGGTCCATAGGCGGAAGATTTCCTCCGCAGTGTGAGGAATGAGTCAGCACACAGAACTGAAGTGGCTTCCTCCGACCTCCACCCCCAACTCCAATCACACAACTCTCCTGACTCTCTTCACACAACTCTAATCCACTCTGTCCTCCCTCTGCCTACTTAATTTTGTGCACCGTACTTAATTTTGTGCACCGTACTTAATTTTGTGCACCGTTAAGAGGGTGCCTGCATTCCTAGCCATCTCTCCCTGGCACACAGCACCCCTGCTGCTTTTCACAGCCAGATGTTATTTGGGCACCTTTCTCAATTCTGGTGCTCTGGGCCGGGGAGCCCAACTTGGGATTTAGACCCCAGAGTTCTCAGTGGGAACTCCCCACAGCTGAGCTATCCCTCTGGAACTTCAGCTTCTGTTTATGGGAGCCTGGCCAGCCCTTTTGCACCTTCACGCTTCCTATCAATCTCTAAGTGCTTTCTACTTTCCATACTTGGATATTAGGGTTCTTTCTAGCTAGTCTTTAGTTGAGTTTTCAGGGTGGTTTTCTGTATGTTAGTTGTATTTCTAGTTGGTCCTGGGAAAGTTTCAGTGTGATTTCCACTTAATCTGCTCCATTTTGGAATCTCCCTTTTTTTTTTTTTTAAATTGAAATTCTGAGAGCTTTATAATAGCAGCTCTAGGACCTTTATCCTTGAGAGAAGCAGTGCAGCATGTGGTTTAGTGCTTTTGATTTCTCACCCTGGTATCGTCATGATATAAATGTGGATAATGATAATAGCACTTTCTCATGGGATTAGCAAGGATTAAATGAGGCAGCAGAAGTAAGATGCTTCATATGGTGTCTGTTCACTAGCACAGAGAGAACCCACTTTAACAAAGCACCTTCTGTGTGCCTGTCTTTGCGATTCAGATTATATCAGTCATTGCCTCATTATTAGAATAAAAGTTTCTATTCCTGAGGATTTTGGCCAACCAAATAAATTAGAATTGCTATTGTTTGTAATGTAAATCATAAATGATCACAGAGAATTCTAGCCTAATCATACATTCAGAGAAATTTAAAAGCTTTTAAAACTCAATTTTACTTGTGAATTACTTCAGACATCTTTAAAGAAATTTTTTGTGTTATTTGTTTATTGTTTTTATAAAAATGTCTCTTGACTGCAAGTTTTACTCACTCTTGAATTGTTGGTTTTCCCAAGGATTCTGTCATCTGCTTGAAGTGATCACTGCTGCTTTCTGGACTTCAGCTCTTGTACCCATGTGATGATTACTCCCAGATAATATCTTCAGTTCCTCATTTTGCTTCCCAGTTGCTTATTAGACATCTCTGTGTGTTTCTCCCAGGATGTTTCTAACTCTACACAAACATAATTATCCTCCATATTTTCCTCACCTTACTTCTGCTTTTCCTAGTGAATGGCATTCTCATAACAATCCAGCTAGTCATTCGAGCCAGACACCCAGAGTCATCCAGGCCTCATCCCTCACTTCAGTTAGTTAAGAAGTAATACTGATGCTGCCTTTGAAATACCTTTATGTAGTGCTTCTATTTCCACTCCCATTGCCTTAATTAAACTCTCCTCAGGACTATTTAAACAAGCTTCCTCCTGGTCTTTCTGCCTTCTGGTTTCCTATCCCTTCCTCAGGCTACCCAGTACCATTTCCATAGTGATATTCTTAAAGCTTAAATGGAATGATTTTGTCACGTTTAGAAATGTCTGCTAGCTCCCCATCCTATATAATAAAAGAGTAATATGCCAATCGACCAAACGGCAGAAAGACTGGTCACTCTGATGAGCTGCCCCCTGGTAGTCAGTGTGCTCCCACAGGAGGAGCACCACTCAGCCAGAAGCCAGATGAGCAGAGCCTCTCCCCGCTCTGAGGCAGCACTAAGGAGTAGCGAGCCAAGTAGTAAGGAGTGAGGGCTCTTGGACTGCAAGAGGGATCCCAGGCTGCGAGAGGGCACAGGTTGTGCTGCAGGACCCCCCTGAGTGCAAATTTTCGTGAACTGGGCCTCTGCCTCTAGTTTCTGAATAAGAAAGTACAACCTTCCTCAGTAGACAGATAAGACCCATCATTCCATGTCCAAAAATTTCTCTCTAACCTCATCTTTTGGCAGTTCTCCCCTTGCCTTCTACACTCCATTAGTCCTGACCTTCAGTAGTTCTATGATACTGTGTGACTGTTCTCACTTCCCTCCCTGACTAAACACCCCTTCCCTTTGCTTAAATGCAGGCCCTTCTCTTCCTGCTGAATGAAGTCTTCGTGACTATCTCTTTCCCTCCCCCGTCATAAGAGCCAATCTTTTCTTTCTTTGTGCTATCAGAGTAATTTATGTTTTCAGTGTTTTTAAATCCTTCACTCTCTTGCTAGTCTTTCCTTACCAGACTAACTTCCAGGTCAAGAGACTGTTAATCTTTTTAGCATTCTCATTGCCTAGTGAGGCTTTGGCGTAGGTAAACATTTAATAAACAATATGAAAAATTGTTCATTAAACCAAGGATTAGAGGAGGAAGCAATATACTTAATGGAGGAGTAAGTAGTCCTATCAATTATTTTTTAAGTGGCATTAGGGAGAAAGTTTAGATTAACTCTGTTTCTTTAGATGGCAGAGTTGATGTCCATAGAGACTTCTGCATCATTCCTAAAGAACACAGTGAAAATTGCAAAACTAGCAGTGCCATCCTGCCTTCATTTGGAATCCTGCAGTTGACACGATTTAGGTTATAGTCCTTGTTTGGTTGCCAATTTGGTTTTTACTGGGCCTTATTTTTGTTTTTGACAGAAAAATGAAGATTATAGTAGCTCATCTAGTGGTTTTGAGGACTAATGAAACAATATTTCAGGGGGTTAGACTAACATTTGATATTAAGTAGTGCTTAATTCAGGTTCATTGAATTCAAATTATTCTTCTGGTTCTGGATACTTTTAGTAAAACCTAATCTCACAGTAATATAAGTTATGTGTGTGCATAAACTGACACTATTAAAAGAGATTCAATTACATTTTTTCCCTCTTAAAGATTTATCCATTGTACTGATGATTCCCCAGATCCTTGTATGGAATATGAGGTAAGAAACTTTTAAAAAATCTGAATGAAGTTGATAAAGTATGAAGAAGTATTGAGAACTGCTATTCTTAAGTGAAATGAATGAAAACTTTTGGATTAATTTCTTTAGGCACCTAGGGTCATTGAATTTTTAAATTTATTAAATATACATATAAAATATATATTCTCTTTTTATAGAGTATATGTAGGAAAATATTGTCTTTCAGTATGTACAGGGAATTAGTCACAGGACTCCTGAGGATGCAAAAACCTAGTTTGGAAAGCTTAACAACATAATATTCTTAGAATAATTAAAATGAAAAAAGTGACAAGCAGAATCCTATGTATCATGTGCTCTTGTCTGCATGTATCTATAAAGATATATGCATACATTATATACTCACATATTCCTAAGAATACTTCTGAGAGCTATATGAGAAATTGACAACACTGCTTGCCTCTGAGGAAAAGGACAAAGGAGTTCGATGGCATAGATTCACCTTTTTGTAATTTTTTTTGGTCAACCACAAATTTATGTATACCTGTTCAAAACATTATTTCAATAACGCTTATGCAAATTTTCTAAAAATTTAATATTAGTATGTAGCAACTGCTTATTTCTTTTTTGCTTAAAAAGTTACTAGGGCTATAAAAAATATATGCTAGCATAAGCTTTTAATAGATAAGAACAGTGTAATATTTTAGTTTGGGGTTCTTTATTTAATAATTAGGTTCTTTTAAAATAACTTGACACATTCAAAGCTTAATCTAGAATATACAATGATGAAAATTTAAATCAGTACATTTTAGCCCTAGCCGATTTGACTCGGTGGATTGGCCTATGGACTGAAGGGTCTCGAGTTCAATTCCTGGCTCTGACCCAATCCATGTATTTTCCTCACGTCAATATTTTTTTTTTCTCTCTTTCTTTTTCTTTCTTCCAAAATTCAATAGAAAAATATCCTCAGGTGAGGATTAAAAAACAAAAAAGAAACCAGTGTTTTTAAATTTTCCAAGTCATCTTTTAACCATATAGTTTTTTAAGAAAAGCAAGTTATTAATATTTTTATATTTTAAAAATATAAAACTACAAGGAAATATGAAACTATTACCTAGATATGTCCTTACTATTAGCATTTGAGGGTTTGTGTGTGCATATACACTTCATAAAGCCATTTGTGTACTGTTTTCACATCACTCTTATAGCATAGTATGGGTACTTTCCTAGATCATTAAATATTCTTTTTATCATGATTTTAGTGTCTGCTTATTTTACATGTTTACTCTTTTATTTGACAAACATTTCCTAAACACCTGCTGTGTATTACATACTTGTGCTGGAACACAGAAATGAGTTAATTTCTTGCCCTTAAGGAACTTACTGTTTAGTAGGGATGAGATACTTATATATAAAATTATCATACAACAACATGATATGTGCTTGCTGTAGAATATTGTGCACAGTAAACTGTGGGAAGCACAAGATGTGGGGAAGGAGAATCCTGAGCCCACTGGGTGATTTGGAATGGCACTGAGAGTAATTCAAGTTCTGTTTCACAGGTTTTAGAGGGAAAAGAACAGTATGACAGGATAAGGGAGGCTGGAGACAGTAACCATTTATTAGAGTTAATGTTCTCCAAAGAACATTTTAAAACAGATTCAGAAGCATACATTTGTCAACTGTTCTATTTATAAAATTGTAGCAATTCAATAATGTATAAATAGTATACTAAGTAATAATTACAGTAAGAAAACCTATTTGTGACTTTGTCACTGATAGAATTGGTTTAATTTAAAATAATGCCAACATCATGGAAGGGTTGTACTGATTCTTTGTAATAAGCCATAATAATAATTTTATCAGAGTACGTGTTACAGAATGGTGTTTAAGGTAGATAATTTGAAATTATAGTATTGATTATATTCTTAAAGGAGAGAAGAACATAGGAATTACAGGGCAACTTATGGCAAAGCAGTGATAAGACTTGACTTCCTCATCCTTGGGGGTTTATTATATCAGACCTCTCAAAAATAAATGACAAAGATGCATTTTGTCATAAAGTGTTTAACACAATTTCCTGTTTATTAGACAAATAGATCACAACTCTGTTCCCTGTATCTCACATTAATGTTTTCTGATGCCTCCTTTGAAAAAGATTTTAATAACGGCAAGTGTTAAGACATAGTCTGGGCATAAAATTGTCTGTTAGACAAGTAAACATCCCTTGTTATATAGTTATGTTACATTTTTTCTTTTTTCTACAGCTTGTTCTTCGAAAATGGTGTGAATTAATTCCTGGAGCTGAGTTCCGATGTTTTGTCAAGGAAAACAAGCTTATTGGTAAGTTCTTTTACCCTTGAAAGTAATTGTTTAAAAAAGACAAGCTTTTGATGAAAGGAAATTTCTAGTAATTAGGACAATTAGTTTTTATCTCAGATTCTTCCTCTAACCAGTTGAACTGACTTTGAAATGCTGAGGCCATATTCAGTTTCCACAGAACATACTATTGTCAATTCACCATGTCTGGATTCTGGGTTGAAAGTAAGGGTCCTTATTCTTCTCAATTTAGGATATGTCTAATGCTACCTGCTTTCTCTTTGGGACTATTCTAAGTATTACTAGCTATACACTAGTAATTATTTCAAGCATCATAAAAAGTCAATTTATTTTCTATTATTGGAACATTTTATTATTCTAGCAAGAGAAAATATGTGGACAAGTAGGTGCGTTATTTTAAAAAGCCACCCATTTTCTTTCAGGTTGTTATTTTGTTTGCTATGATCAAATTAAATATGGAAGATAATTTGTTTTTTCTCTCTATTATTTTTTTTTGTCTGCACGTTTTTCATGACCTAAAATTTATCTTCAAATAAGAAAAGTGTAATTTGAACAAAATCAAAGTAATATTATTTATTTATTGAATTTTATGTTGGAATTTATTAACTTAAAAGAAACTTGGTGTGTTGGAACTTATCATATTACTAGGTATTCCTGAAAAAGCTGCACTGTAAATACAGCTAAAGAAGGGAGCATATTAGCATGTGATTAAGAAATTGGGTGGAAGCCCGTCTTCTAGCACACAGAACTTTTTTCCTATGCATAGAGCAAATTGAAGGAGTTCTTCCAATAGTCTCTTTAGTTTATTTAGAATAATATCAGCAAAGCACTCTGAAGAAAGGAATGTTTACTTTTCCATGCCTTTAAATATCAGGCTTGTGAAGGCCTGTATGAACAAGAAAAATAGCATGTATGAACAAGAAAAATAGACTGCTTCTATGAAGTTCAATATAAATATTAAAGACATATAGCGAGGAATATTTTTCATTTTCCCAAAGAAAGTGCAAAAGAATAGCAATTTATAGAGTTCATTGGAAAAAGTAAAGAAAAGCAATTGACTATGTGCGCAGGTTAAAAATTGGTTCATTAATTTTTTTTCTCTTACATAATAGGCATATTTATGGCTTTGAATTCTTTCCTTTATATTAAATAAAAATAACTACTATTTCTAAAGTAAGAATGCATGGTAGTATGGAACTATGGGATTCACCTATCCATATAAACCTTTACAATTGATACTTCTATCATTCAATCAGTATTTTTCTAACTGGTCTTCTGATCTATTTTAATGGTTCTGTCAAGAAGAGTTTAAATCATATTTTGGTGTTTTCTGAATATTATGTATTAACAGAATATAAAATATTTTCTTGCAGGTATTTCTCAAAGGGATTATACACAATATTATGATCATATTTCTAAACAAAAGGAGGAGATTTGCAGATGCATACAAGACTTCTTCAAGAAACATATACAGTATAAATTCTTAGATGAAGACTGTAAGTATTTTTTAATGACTCAATGAAATGAAATGAAATACATAATGTTAATGAACCTTATTTCACAGTGGCACTTATTTTAAAACTAGAGTCCTGGTGCACAAAAATCGTGAACTGGGGGCGGGGGTCCCTCAGCCTGACCTGCTCCTTCTCACAGTCCGGGACCCTTCGCTCCTTACCACACGCCTGGTTGCTACTCCTTAATGCTGCTGCAGAGGCGGGAGAGACTGGCTTCTGGTTGAGCGGAACGCCCCCTGTGGGAGCACACTCACCACTAGGGGGTGGCTCCTGCTTTGAGTGTGTGTGCCCTGGTGTTCAGTGTGCATCGCAGTGACCAGTCATTCTGGTCTTTCAGCCATAAAGGTCACTTAGGCTTTTATTATATAGACTAGAAGTCCAGTGCATGAAATTTGTGCACTGGGGGTAGGGTTCCCTCAACCCAATGTGCACCCTCTCCAATTCGGTTCCTCACGGGGGATGTCCGACTGCCGACTGATTCTGGGCCTAAACCGGCAGTCAGACATCCCTCTCACAATTCTGCACCATTGGCTCCTAACTGCTCACCTGCCTGCCTGCCTGATCACCCCTAAATGCCTCTGCCTGCTGGCCTGATTGTCCCCAACTACCCCCTACCCCTTGCCAGCTTGGTTGCCCCCAACTGTCCCTCTTGCTGGCCTGGTTGTTCCACACAGCCTACTGTTCAGTCATTTGATCGCCCCTCACTAATCCCCTGCTGGCCTGGTTGCCCCACACAGCCTGTTTGTTTGTTGGTTACGTTGCGATGGTTGCTTAGGCTTTTATTATTATAGACTAGAGACCCAGTGCATGAAAATTCATGCGCTGGAGTGGGGGGGGGTCCCTCAGCCCAGCCTGCCCCCTCTCACAGTGCAAGAGCCCTCAGGGGCAGGAGGTGACCCAGTGATCAGGGGAAGGTGACACTTCCATCACATCTCTGCTGCCCAGAGTGCAAGCCTCACCTGGCCCTGATTACCTGTGCCTCTAGTAGGCCCTGGGCAGCTTGGGGGCTGAGAGGTCTGGGGGACCCTGGAAGCAGGCATGCGGAGCAGCTGGACCCGCCTGGGGGTGGGCCCGGCTGTGCCACATGCCTGCCACCTTGGCAGGGCTGAGGGGACTGGGTGCTGTCATCTTGTGGCCATGGGCATGCTCATCTTTGAGGGCGTAACAGTCAATTAGCATATTCCCTCTTTATTGGCTGTGGGTGCCATCATCTTTGTGAGGGTGTGATGATCAATTAGTATATTCCCTCTTTATTAGATAGGATAGGATTTGAAACACTAAGTATTTTACTATATTATTATTTGGTATTGCTGATGGTTGCATGTTAATTTTACCTTATTTGATCCTTTCTTTTTCTTTTTCTTTTTTGATTAGTCCTCACTGGAGGATATTTTTCCATTGATTTCCCCTCCCCCCCCCATGTGCCAATCTGTATTCCTTGATTTTTAGAGAGAGTGGAAGGAAGGATGAGAGACACAGAGAGAGATCAATGTGAGAGAGACACATCGATTGGTTGCCTCTTGCATTCACCCAGACCAGGGTTGGGGATGGAACTTGCAACCAAGGTATGTGTCCTTGACCAGAATTGAACCTGGGACTGTTCAATCTGCTGGCTGATGCTCTGTCCAAACTGGCTAGGGCTGATCAGAGTCCTTTTTTAATACTAAGAGTTTTTTCGCTTGCCATTGTAGATATTTTATTATATATTTCAAAGGATCTATCTACAGATGACATATGCTTCTGTTATTAGGACTAAATTAGCTAGATGACTGATCTGCTTTCTTAGATTATTTCTTTAAATGATCAGATAGCATCAGTTATATAGTAAACTTTTGTGAGTTGGCTTTAAGAATAGAAAGTTTTTATGCATCTTAAAATTATATCTACTATGATTTACCCTTTTTACACTTGCCAAGCCTGGTTCTATGGGAGATTTAATTTAAAAAGAAAATTAAGCATAGCTAGATTTTATGCTTCTGTACTACAAAGTTTACTCATTTCATTCCCCATTTCATTGATTGGTGCTTCTTTTATTGGAACATAAACCTATTTATTATGATGAACTGGTTGAGATGATATTGGTATTTGGTTTGAATTTTAAATATAATGGATTATAAACCCTAGCCAGTTTGTCTCAGTGAAAGAGCATTGGCCTGTGGACTAAACGGTCCTAGATTCTATTCCATTTCCAGTTGTACGCACAATCTCCATTAGGGGGCATGCATGAGGCAGCCAATCAGTGATTCTTTGTCATCATTGATGTTTCTATCTCTTTCTCCTTCTCCCTTCCTCTCTAAAATAAATAAAAATATATTTAAAAGAATTTTAAATATATATATATATATATATATATATATATATATATATATATATATTGGGTTATGGTTGAGGGTAAAGAAAGGAAAAACAAAATTTTATAAATAAAACATTGCAGTTTATGTTTAAAGTTTTGAGATTTAGAATTATGAAGTCCTCTAGGTTAATTATATTCTATTGTTGGACTAATAATAAAATGCATTTTAATTTTCAAAAGGAAGCTTAGATCAGCGGTCACCAACCGGTGGTCCACAGACCACTGACAATCCATGAGGTCCAAAAGATTGGTGACTGCTGGTTTAAGGAAATCTTTGGAGCAGCGGTTGCCAACTGGTGGTCCATGAGGTCTGAAAGATTGGTGACCACTGGCTTAGATCATAAAACAAGTAGCTTGTTATTAACTTTTAATTTTTTTTTTTTACAGTTGTATTCGATATATATAGAGATAGTACGGTAAGTAAACACTATATATGATTACTTTAAAACAAGGACTGATCTTATAACTGGACTACATAGCCATTATGAATGTAAAGGGCCTACTGCTCAAAAAAATATTTTCTCAAACTAAGGTGTTTGAAACTCACTATGGTCAAGAATCTTGTCTTAAAATACACTTAGAAGACATGCTATCAATAATTAATTATGTACAATAAATTTAGGGAGTTTTCAAGAATTTAAATTATTTTTTATTTTTTAAATACAGTTGACATACAACATTATTTTAGGTGTACACCCCAGTGAGAGATATTACATAACTTACTACTAAGTGACCATCCTGATGAATCTATTAACCATCTGACACCATAACCTGGTTATTAGAATATTATTCTGTATTTTACATCCCCATGATTATTCTGTTACTACCAATTTGCTCTTTTTAATTTTTACTTTTTCATCCATCCCTCTAATTATCTTCCAATCAGGCAAAAATCAAAATGTTCCCTGTATCTATGAGTCTGTTTCTGTTCTATTTCATGTATTTCATTTTTATAGATTCACTTGTTGATAGATATGTATTTATTGCCAATGTATTGTTTATATTTTTTATTTTTTTCCCCCCTGCTTCTTAAAGAAGACTCTAACATTTCATATAATACTGGTTTAGTGGTGATAAACTCCTTCAGTTTTTTCTTGTCCGGGAAGCTCTCTATATGTCTTTCCATTCTAAATGAGAGCTTTGCTAGGTCGAGTAATGTTAGTTGTAGATTCATGCTTTTCATCATTTTGAATATTTTTTTGCCAATCCCTTTTAGCCTGCAGAGTTTCTTTTGAGAGAAGTCAGGTGGCAGTTTTATGGGGGCTCCTTTGTAAGTAACCAACTGCTTTTTTCTTGCTGCTTTTAAGATTCTCTTTAACTTTTGGCATCTTAATTATGATGCATCTTGGTGTGGGCATCTTTGAGTTCATCTTGTCTGGAACTCTTTGTTCTTCCTGGACTTGTATACCTATTTCCTTCACCTGGTTTTTTTTTTCTTCAAATAGGTTTTCTATTTCTTCCTGTCTTCTCCTACTGGCACTCCATGATGTGAATGCTGGTACACTTGAAGTTGTCCAGAGGGTCCTTACACTATCTTCATTTTTTTGGATACTTTTTTCTTTTTGCTATTTTGATTGGGTGTTTTTTGCTCCCTTATATTCCAAATCACTGTTTTGATTCTTGGCTTTACCTACTCCCCTGTTGATTCCCTGTAAATTATTTTTTTTGTTTCAGTTGGTGTATTCTTCATTTTTGACTGGTTCTTTTTTATGCTGTTGAGGTCCTCACTAAGTTTCTTGAACATCCATAGAACCAGTGTTTTGAACTCTGCATCTAGCAGATTGCTTGTCCCCATTTAGTTTAGTTTTTTTTCTCTGGAGTTTTGTCTTTTTCTTTCATTTGGAAAATGTTTCTCTGTCTCCTCATTTTTCAGCCTCCCTGTGTTTGTTTCTGTGTATTAGGCAGAACTGCTACATCTCCTGAGCTTGGTAGAATGGTCTAATGTAGTATGTATCTTGTAGGGTCCAGTGGCACAGGCCCTTGATCACCCAGGCTGGCATTCCAGTTGTGTCCCTCCTTCTCCCCAATGTGGCTATGTACACCCTTCTGTTGTAGTTGAGCCTTGATGGCTGTTGGCATATCAGTGGGAAGGATTTACCCCCTGGCTAATCCATTGCAAGGACTGGCTGCAACCACAAACAGCCATGGAGAATTAGCACTTCACATAGTCGGTTTTATTTCATTAGGGCTGTTGTGCCCACTGAGTCTGCCCCCTGAGTGTGTCATTGTGGAGATGGTTGGATAGTGTTTTGATGTCGGTCTCAAGATATCCACCAGGTATGCTGGGGCCTCTCAGGAGATGTGGGCGAAGGTCAGCCAAGGCCCCTTTGTTCTGCACACGGCCACATGGCTTGAGCTACAGAGTGATCTGCAGCTGCTTGCTACCTGTGCTGGGCTTGGAGATGTCCAGGGGAGGCTCATCTGTGAACTAAGGCCAGCTGCCACTAGGGCCAGACCTGGGACCACTTAGGAAGAGGTATGGTGCACGTTGAGGCCAGATGCTACTTGTTTGAGAGATTTTAGGAAAGTCTGAAACATGAGCCAAGACAAATGGTTCATATGGAAAAGCTATGGAAACTGGTGGAGTAGGCTTGCAAGTTTGGTGGGGTGGGATAGCAGGTATTTACTAGGGTGGGACAAACAGTGATAGCCAGGTTGATGTAGACATATAGATGGCTCCTGCTTGCCATCTCTAGGGTGGAGGTCTCATCCAAGGAACAATAGCCTCTGCCAGCACTTTTGTCTGAGAGAAAGTTACACTCCACTCCTAACTCTGGCCCTCATGCCAAACACTTCAGTTTCTCCCCGTATATCCCTGGTGCCTTCTAGGCTGCTGTTTCAGTACTGGAGCTCAGAGGGAGTGAGTCAGAATAAGTCTGTGTGCAGGTCCCTTAAAGGAACTTCCTGGGATTTCAGTAGCCCTCCCTCTTACTCAGGCTCAATTCCCACTGGCTTTTACAGCCAGAATTTATGGGACTTCTCTTCCCAGGACTGGAACCCTGGTCTTCAGGGCCTGGTGTGGGGCTGGGACCCCTTGCTCTTCAGGGTGGACCTCTGCAGCCAAGATATCCCTCCTGATTTTTATTCAGTACATGTGTGTGTGGACCATTTCGTTCCATATGTCTGTATCTCCTAGCAGACAACATGGTTTCTTTAAATTTCTAGTTGTAGAACTTATATCCAGCTAGATTTCAGGTGGTTCTGAGTGATGGTTTTTCTGTTGTTTAGTTGTAATTTTTATATGGTTGTAGAAGGATGCGAGTAACACATTAACTGTGTCACCATCTTAATTGAAAGTCTCTGGATTATTATCATCATTATTATTATTACTATTTTATTGATTGATTTTAGTGAGAGAAAAGAAGGGGGAAGAGACAAACATTTTGTTTGTTGAGCCCGCATCCTTGGCATAGATGACAGTACTTTAACCAACTGAGTTACCCATCCAGGTCTCCATTACTGTTTTTACTTAAAAAAAATTTTAATTATAGTTGACGTACTACATTATATTAGTTTTTGGTGTACAACAAAGTGTTTAAACGTAGTACCCACCTGACTTGGTTATTACAATATTATAGACTATATTTCTTATGGTGTACTTTACATCCTTGAGATTGTTTTTATAACTAGCAATTTGCATATCTTAATCATTTGCCCTTTTCATGCATACCCCCAACACCATCATTTGGCAATCTTCAGTTTGTATCCTGTGAGTTTGTTTTTGTTTTGTTTGTTCCTTTATTTTGTTATTTAGATTCTATATATAAGTGAAATCATATGGTATTTGTCTTTCTTTGTCTGACTTGTTTCACTTAACATAATACCCTTTGAGTCCATCCATGTTGTTGCAAATGGTAAGATTTTACTGTTTTTTTATGGCCAAGTAATATTCCATTGTTTGTATACATATGCCACATCTTCTTTATCCACTTGTTTATTGATGGACATTTAAGTTGTTTCCATATCTTAATTGTTATAAATAATGTTGCAGTAAACATAGGGGTGCACATATCTTTTTAAATTCATGTTTTGGATTTCTTCAGATACATACCCAGAAGTGGAATTGCTGGGTCATAAGAAAATTCTATTATTCATTTTTTAAGGAACTACCATACTGTTTTCCACACTTCCTGCACCAACTTATAATCCCACCAAAACTGCATAAGGATTTTCTTTTCTCTATATCTTCACCAACACTTGTTTGTTGATTTATTGATGATAGCCATTATGACAGATGTGAGGTGATACCTTTTTGAGGTTTTAATTTGCATTTTAGGCATTATTAACTTAACAAATAACTAAATGGCCACCTTATATCCTACTTTCCACTGTTGTCAGGAGTCTGGGTGTGCTTAAAATAGTTCAGTTTGCACATTTTTATTTTCTTCTCAACAAAGCTGCTTTTCAAGATAACATTTAGAAATAATCAGATATTCCCCCCTACCCCCTCTCCCTACAAACAGTTTTTCCAGTCCTTGACTAGTGAAATTCTTCTAGAGTGGTTTTACAGGTCTACACAGAATTGTAGAGCTCTCTCCCAGCCTGTACTAGGATGAGCAGACAAAAAGCAATCCAGGGCAATCCTCCTGATCTGACCTGTTTGCATACTTAAATGTGGCCAGGAATTTGTCATTTGATATTTAGGTAATTATTTTTAGCATTATTCGAGAACCTCTGATGTGTTAGATGCTATGCTTCTAATAAGAAGCTTCCAACAAGATGATCGGCTGTGACCTCAAGGAACTTAATCTCAAGACTTGAAACTGGGGGCATTGGCATGGTGGCAAGCTGGATCAAGTCAATTAGGGATTAAACTTAGCCCTTTGCTCTGAATGTGCAGCACAAAAGAGCTTTATTCTCATTTAATTCAGTATCTCAATTCATATACCCCTGTGAGGTACGTATTATTTGTTCCCAGTTTACAGATATTAAAATCGAAGCGACTATGTGTTAATGCAACTATAATAATCGCATTTGAAAATTTGGAATTTACCAGTCTCTCAATATTTCCCTGGCAAATATCCAGTTCTGCAAATGTCTTAATTGAAGTTAGAGATGTGCATAAGTAATTACTGCTGTGATCTTACACAATGAAAATTATTGAATGTTTTTAAAGTGAGAAACATACCAGTATAAACACCCTGAAAGTTTCTGAGATTTAAACCATAATGTAAAACTAATTTGCATTTAGTTAGTTTCACCGTTTGTTAGGCACTTTCTTAATTATGTATTTTCGTAACTTTTCATAAGGAAAATTAACTCTTATTTTATGTGGTCTCATATGAAATATATCTAAAGTGTGTGGGCTTGGCAATATTTTGATGTGTCTGCTTTCTTACTGTGGCTAGCGAGTTGAGTCAGTGCTGATAGGTTCTAATTTCGTGTATGTAAAGCAATGGTCGGAACATGTAAGATG